CTCCCCTCCCGTACTCTACCTTCAACCTCAACGTCAGGGCATCCTGGTTTTATTTTATTTTTAATTAAGTTTATTGGTATATTTTAGGTATACATAACCATCACATTTATCAAAGGGAATTTATACCTGTACATAATATAATATATCTTGATTCTTATTTTTTCTCATTCCCCTACTCTCCCTTCAATTTCTCACACCAGAGAAACAGTACAGTATTTACAAACATGTATCTGATTTGTTGCACTGAAGAATATGGTTTCATAGTGCTTCCATTTAGCTATAAATGTCTCAAGTTCATCATCCTTTATGGCAAAGTAGTACTCTGTCGTTTTTTGTTTTTTTTTTTTTTTTTTTTTTATTTTTTTTTTTTTTTTTTGGTGCCAGGGATCAAACTCAGCTGAGCTAAGTCCCCAGCCCTTGTTTCTTTGAGACAGGGTCTCACAGTGTGGTCCACACTAGCCTTGAACTCGTGGAGATTCTCCTGCGTCAGCCTCCTGAGTGCTGTGATTATAGGGGTGCACCACTGTGCCCGGCTGCTCTTCTCTTGGTGTGTGGCTCTTGGATATTTTAACCTGACATCAAGTTCAAAGGCGACACTTGTATTTGTTGCTGCTGAGGATCAGACTCAGGCCGCACACCAGGTGGGCCAGTGCTGTGTGACTCAGCACACATCCCAACCCGTCTGGAGGCTGGGCACCCCTAAACTGCCTGGCTGGCCACACATGAGATCATCCTGCCTCATCCTACCCTACCCAGGAGTTGGGATGGTGGTTTAAGGCCAGCTGGGAAACACAGTCTGACCCTGCCTCAAAAAACAAAAAACCCAACCATGACCCCAGTTCATCTACTTGCTGGCAATGTATTTTTTCTTGCCTAAGTGGTAACCAACCTAATGTTTCATTCTGAAATAAGCTGCTAAATTGCTAAATAAAAGGACGGTTTTTAAACCCTGCAAGCAGGGGCTGCAACACTGCTGCAGGCTTCAGAGGTGTGTCCTGGATCCCCAAGGGAGCTTCCCCGCTCTCCTGGCAGCTTTGCTCAGTCCACGGGGACTCTGACGCCTCTGTCCAGAGAACAGAACCCCTGGAGACCCTGACCGACCCCAAATGCCAGAGACGGCTGTGCATGCGGGTGTCAGGGACCCCAGCCCTCTGCTCCCAGCTCACCCTGGGGGAAGTGAGACAGCACAAGCTTGCTGCGTCAGGGGGTGCAGTGGAGGTGCCCTTCCCTCCTTCCCTCCTGTTCCCGGGCAGAGCCTGCAGGCTCCATGCTGCAGGTCTCCTCTACCTCACCCCACATGGTGCTCAAAGCAGAAGCATGGGCTCTGTGCAAACCTGAAAGAAAAGGTATCACTGTGTCCAAAAAGAACCATTCCTAGGCCACCTCTAGCATCACCATCTTACTGAGTTTTGAAGTTGTAAGGCTGCGATTTTCTCTTGCTTTAGGGAGAAGAGTAAGTGCAGGGAGACTTGGGGAAGTTGCAGGTTAATTACATACAAGAGTCCTGACGGTTGAATACAGTACCTGTGTGCCTTTCAAGCACGGATACTTACAAATGCACCTACATAGGACTAATAACGTGTGCTGGGGAGAGAAGCTAATGAGAAATGAACATTTATAAGATTCAAGATGATGCCTGGGTTCGGTGGGTCACTTCACTGTGGTGTTTCTCCTGTCTCAGGTGTTTCACAGCAGATCTCACATTACAAAAGTTACAACGGGAAGGTAGTTTATTAACAGTCTACAGTGGGGGGTTTTCTTCTAGTCGCATCCTTCGTTGAGAACAAGGTTTCTTCACTGGGCACCCGCTCCACCATGCCGATACTTCTTGGGTGGGAGAAGAGGCCTGAGGACACCAGGATTCACAGGGCAGGAAGCAAGTGACCACCTTGACACCTCCATCTCGAAGCCACAGTTGGGTGAATCAGTCTGGGCTGCGAGGGAGCAAAGTTGAGGGGAGCCACACAGAGCTGGCCGGGCTGCACTGTGGCCACGAGACTCCTGCGGGGAAATGGCCCCAGCACCTCGTCGATAGTCCTCGACACTGATTAGGGCTGGGATGATGATTTCTGGATCTGTTGTGTTAATGCATATTATTAAATTTTTAAAGATAGTTTAAGGTTGCAGATGTGGCTTGCATTTTACTTCTGTTGGAAGTGGTCTTTCCAGATCCAGGACAATTTAAGAAGGGTGGCCCAGCTCGCAGTCCAATAGAGCTCCGGTTAGAAAGGCGGCTGAGCTTGGAGGGCTCAGAGCCGTGAGTGGGCAGAGGGCCACTCCGCTCCGACCGCCTTCCCAGAGGAGCCTGACAGACACTTGGTGGTGACCATGCGATGCTTTCTCTGCCACCACTGCAGGTGAGGCCATCCCAGCTGGCACAGGCATCTGCACAGCGACACATACACATCCACGGGTGTCGTTTTCATTCTCCCACGGCGCTCAGGTGCTGCCAGACGTTAGCAGCGTAACCTGAGGGCCCCCACAGGCCAGTCAAGAGTTGGGCTGGGGACAAGACGGGACAGAAAGAGCTGGCCGGCCTCTCCCATTTCCCAGGGGCCTCAGCCCTGGGCAGGAGAGGGAACTTCCCTCAGGAGGGAGAGCTGCGTCCAGGAGTGGACCATCCTCGGGAGTCTCCCTACTGCTGTCTCAGGGGCTCTGACATCCCTAGGCCGGTGAAGCCAGACAAGCTTCCATTTCTTGCTGTGGGTGGTGCGGAGTAGAGGCGTCTATTCTAGTCACCTTACATGTGCCAGTCCCCTCGGAAACCCACCCCTTCATCCAAAACCAAGAAAGCAACCTGCCACCTGTGCCCTCCCCGCTTCACTCAGCAGTATTCTGAAAAATCAGGAAAAATAACAGGAAACAGTGATTCCCCCGCATTCTGAAAGACAGCAGCCCTATCCTAGGAGGTGAGATGGGAATGGAATTCCGAGCAACAGGATACGAAACAAGGCCCAGCACTTCACAAGATGCCCGGGGTCCCGTCTGACCCGTTTAAGGAGCTGGTGCAAACAGGAGTGACACTTTCCTCTCACCCCAAGGGCCTACGTCTACGTCTGCGAATGACCCAAATATTCTTCGGGAAGTATGGGTTTCACACGGTTTCTGTCATGAAACGTGGGAAGTACGGAGAAGGCTGCAGTTAGGTAGGGGAGGACACAGTGCAAGTCCGCGCTCTGCTCCTTTGCCGCGGGCGAAAGTGAAGCCGGAGCAGCCAGAGCGCCCCGGAGGCGGCGGGGGGAAGAGGCGGCTCGCGGAGCTGCGCGCCAGAAACGGTGCGCAGTGCTGTGGCGGAGCGACCCGGTCAATCCCGAGGCGTCCGCCTAGACGGGGACGTCAGCGCGCCGCCCGCGGCCTGGACCCTGCGCTCCCCTCCCATCCGTCCTCCTCGGCC